GCCCATGGAAATTTCAAACTTGGTCACAAAAAACCATGTATATATTGTCAAGTAGAGAGTCAAGGTTATTTGTAACTTTAGAGGACATGTGGTTCTCTTTAGCTCTTCAAAACAGTCAATTCTTCAATAATGAAAGGTGTTTTTACTACTGAACTCCTAAATTCAAATGATAAAAAGTATTTTTACCGTTTGATACATGAATATACTAAATTAGCTCATCCACAAATACAAATACGGTATATTTTATACTTTACCATTATTACATTGTATTTGTTTCAGCTGTTAATCGACACGTAGGATTTACTGTTTATGTGTTCAACGACTCATCGTACATACCTCCCTCAAATACATCTGAACACAAAGTGTTCACTCACAATATCTCTACCTGTCCTGAACGTGTTACAAATGTTACCGTCAATAAAGAGATCCGGGGGATAGCTATTTACAACTCAAAGGACCCTCCAGTCAGTACAACATGTGTGGGTTATGCACCTACATTTGCAACCATTGAAATTTGCGAAGTTAAAGTGATAGGTATGTACTGGTAATCTATTTATATATATAAGTAAGACTTAGTGGTGAAGGAAGTCTCAAAATATTTTAACAAAATACACAAATAAGTGAATTTGCTTAATGTAAGACATTGGATAAATTGTATACCAGACTTTCAATCATTTTTTAACTGTTTCAGGTTGTCCATCTAAACATTATGGAGAAAATTGCAATCCCTGTAACCCTAAATGTCGCGATACAGTTTGCGATGCATTTAATGGTTCCTGTATCTATGGATGCAGTGACAATGTCGTTGAATCACCGTTTTGTTCCGGTAAAAGGACATTTATCTAAATATCATTATAATATTTTGGGAATGCGTTTCATTTCAAGCACTGAAGGTACATGAAACTGAAAAAAAATCACTATGATGTTGAGAAAATCCTACAATTGTTACAGCTTCTTTTTTTAATTCCCACGCTTAGTACAAATCATACTTTTAACAGCCTGAATTAATTTAAATATGCACTCTTTCATACATATTCGTGTTACACGCATTCATACAAAAATTGATAATTGAATTAAAGATGTTCCGAATCTGACAAGGCATGTAGCACTTTCCATAATGATTTAGAAATCCTATCATTTTGCTTCTATTCTTCCGTAACACTGCTTTAACTATCGCCTTAATTTTCGATTCTTAAAGTACATTTTCATCTAATACACGTATCTAAATAAAATTGTTAGAATGTAAAGACGGCTTTTATGGACCAGATTGCACACAAGGTTGTGGAGTTTGTACACTTGGTACATTTTGTAACAAAACAAGTGGAATCTGTCCAGTTGGATGTCAGGGGAACTGGAATACCTCAAAATGTAACAGTGAGTGTAGTAGCATGTGCACTTTTTCAAGACTTAATACTTAAAATAAAACTATGTAAGAAAACCAAATTATAACAAAATATCAAAGTTAAATTAAAAATTCATTAACATTAAGGACATGTTTTGTGATTAAATAAAAAGAAAGATATTTTGCAACAGATCTTTCAAAATCATTGCAGAAAATTTGTTAGATCATTAAACGAAAAGACCATGTATTTAAACAAAAGAGGATTCCACCTTTTTTTCTAATGTCGTAATGCATGTTTATATTACTTCACGGTTGCTATTTTCAGTATGCAAAAATGGATTTTATGGAACAAATTGTGAATTTCCTTGTGGTAAGTGTAGAATCGGGACCTTTTGTGATAATCAAACAGGGATATGTCCAGAAGGATGCCAGGATCATTGGAATGGAACCCATTGTGATGGTTATGTATATAATTGTATTTAAGTTAACCATATTTCATTTTGTTGCTATGAACAATTCTATTAACATTGAACATCAAGATGAATTTAGCTTGTCTGATTCTGATTATAATAATTTTGCATATTATAAATGTAGAGTGAATTACATAATGCATATTTATTTCTTCATGGTTGCTATTTTCAGTATGCAAAAATGGATTTTTTGGAGAAAATTGTGAATTTCCTTGTGGTAAGTGTAGAATCGGGACCTCTTGTGATAATCAGACTGGGATATGTCCAGAAGGATGTCAGGATCATTGGACTAGAACAAAATGCGACGGTAATGTATATGTGTGTTAACATTGTTTATGAAACAAGAATATCAGCAGTCTCGTTTTAAGTCTTCATGTCGTTAGTTCTAAGGTCGATACAATGTTCTGAAAGTCTGTGTTTGCTCTGCTTCTATTTTGTATTGTTATATGATCTTGAATTATGTTCGTCATTTCAGTGTGCCTAGTTTCTTTCCCTTCTTGTACTATTTTTTTTCTATTCTGCTTAGTAATCATTAGTAATTTGGTTTTCAGAATGCGAAGATTATAAATAAGGACAAAACTGTTCGTTTGACTGTGGTAAGTGTAAAGACGACAGACCATGTTCTAAAGTTTCCGGAAAATGTAAAGCGGGATGTGTGACAGGGTGGAGTGGATTGTTCTGTTCGAAAGGTTTTTTTTTTTTTGTATTTTGTTGTAATAAGTTTGAAATTCTCCCTGGTTGCACATTTTTGCAGAATATTACGAATTTATCCAATCCGCATAGATTACAGATTAGTTTTAAAAACTTAAACGTATATTTTGTATATAAAAGTTAAATAGATGATGATTCGGTCAACCTGATTTAAATATGATAAAAACTAGTTTTCGTGCAGTTTTGATTAACAGCAGATAATATCCGTCATACAGTACGTCAGTGTTTTAATGTACCTATATATGATATATGATTTTTTTAAAAACTAAATCAGCGAAGAAGTTGAAATTTAAACGAAACTTAACGGAATTGTAAAGTAATGTAAATTCAACGACATATATTTATTTAAAAGATTGCTTAAAATGAATATGATTATATTATTTCAGAATTGGTCAACACCGACCAACGAAATGGAGGTGAGTTCAAAATAAAAAAAAATCGGTAAAGCTGAACACTTCTCATAAATAGGCACTGTCAGGCGGAAGGATTTGGAAATAACGAACATTATTCAATATCAAAGTCCATAAAACAATACAAAACAGGAGCAGAGCAAGCACATACCTCCGGAACATCAGAGGTAGGATCAGGTGCCACGGAAGAGTGAGCATCCCCTGCTGGCCGGTCACACCCGCTGTGTGGTCCTTGTCATGAACGGGAAATAATGGAATATCAATTATAAAAATAATATAATAATAAAATAATATTATAGGATATTATAATGATATAAGCCCTTCAATTTCGTTACACTCGATAGCGCACTTGAAACTCGTAGTAGACATGTAGTATTCCTTTCGTGGTCTAAGATTTTTGCGTTTATAACTTGTTTATATGTGTATTTTCTGTTCCTAAGTTATCTAGTGACTTGTATTTGTCATGATGCTGTTCTCCTGTTTTGAAAAAAAAAATTTCTGTGTAAATTTGATAATTTCATGGCGACCGAGTAGCAGGGCAGTGTGATATGTATGTCAACACTCTGACCTCCTCAGCAAAATACTTATAACTGTTAAGATATCTCCTCCTTATATAGGGGTTGTAGGGGATAGCAGGATGAACAGGAAATATGGCGCATTTTGCCTTTTTACGAGTAGTGTTAAGCTTCAAATTCATTCTCTTGAGTGAGTAAGGGCAAAATATATTGTCAGGTGTGTTCGCATATTTATTTTCTCTCGGCTGAACATAAAGGGAAACATAAATTCAAACTGTAAAAGCCTTTCAAAAACTAAAAATAATCGTTTACCTACTTTCAGTCAATTTGTGTGTGTGTGTGTGTGTGTGTGTGTGTGTGTGTGTAAAAATTGTCAAAATATACAAATCTCATTTTTTTTATCTACAGATGATGGGTTTCCAAAAGTTTCAACTGCAATAATTTCTATTGTTTCAACGCTTGTTGTTCTGACCATTATATGTGTAGTGTTGGCTCGAATCCTATGCAAGAAAATAAAAATAAGAAGTCAGCATACATGAAAGGACGCAACAGACATTATGCATGAAAAACTCATTGATCAATTAGGTGATGCAAACAACGACCCTACATATCGAAGATTCCTATCCTAGCTTCTCAATCGGAAGTTTCTCATTACCAGGATATGAACAAATCTACAAAAATAATGAATTGGGGCACTTGTCCATGACTTGTTAATTATTGACAAGTTTGTGGCGTGTTTGTTCTCCCATCTTTTTTGCAAATTCTTCTAGTCATATTTGTATTTTTTCCTTATGTATATTAATGTCCTTATAAAGGATATATTAAAATATGGTCATATGTAACTTTTGTACATATTTGGTTAATTTGTTTGGCATTACAATAAATGCTCATTTACAACAAACATTTTGTTTTGATATTTGCAAAAAACAGAGCAGAGTAGACTCATTCATGGAGAAAATAAAATATTTGAGGAAGGTGGAAGACGATGGTATAATGAATTTGTTAAAAAAAATAAGTGATTTATTTGATCATGACGATATAGTTTTTTCTCTTTATTCCCTTTGTTTAAAAAGGAATAAGAAATAAACGGCATGAAATTACCTTCAATGTGTTAATGGTGTACTTATCTATTTAAAAATGAATATGAGCATCCTATAATATCATAAATACTTTCTAAAAGCCTTTATAATACTCTTTGTCGGGTCTTCGTAAAGATTGCAGATACTGTATAATTTATGTATTTATATTAGAAAACAATAATGTTGTATTATCACAAATAATTGTTGGCACAGTTTTTGTTATGCTTAAAGCAGTTTTGTACGATTTTAATATAAAAATATAAATGGGAGAAAAAAATTTTCAGCTCATAAATTTTCAAATACCGACGTGTAAATCTGAGTCTTCTAATTCCTTCTCGTTAATCACTAATTTTGGAGTTTCCACATCTTCAAGCGATTATCACACAACTATGAAATTACTTTGCTACATCCGTACTTCGTAATAACCGTATGAGAAATTCATTGAATAATAATATACCCTCAAATTAGTAAACATGGACATCTTGATCTTAGGATCATCAAAAGGAGGTTACATGTACCACCATATCCTGATATTAACAGATCATTTCACGAGATTTGCCCATGCCATATTCACAAAGAACCAGACAGCAAGAACAACAGCTGAGACCCTTTACACCAACGTCATGACCAAATACGGGTTTCCAAATAGGATACAAGGATACATTGTGAACACAGAGCTAATTTTGAGGGTAAGATCATAAAGAAATTTTGCAATATAACAGGGAAGAAGTCCAGAACAATTTTCTATCATACCATGGGCAAAGACATGTGTAAGAGGTTTAATAAAACTCCAATGGACATGCCAGGAACACTCAACCCAACTTAGAAGTCCAACTGGAAAGCCCACATCCATCATTGGTACATGCATATAACACAACAAGACACGAAAGCACAAAGCAATCACCGTACTTGCTGATAATTGAAAGAGAACTGAGACTACCTATAGAAAAAACTTTGGATTTAACAACCCTGAGAAGAAAAAACCATGACAAAACATGTCGAATATCTAAGAACAAGAATGGAGTTGGCATTTGAATTAGCATTATGAGCAGCAGAAAAAGCAGAAGTAAAACAAAGTTAGTATTTTGACAGGGTTCTCCACATTTGAAAATTTAACCATGGAGGAAGCTGTGCGAAGGCGAAGTGTGACCAAAAACATGAATACGTGATAGACTGCCTAATTTCATTAATAAATGATTGGTTTTACAATTTTTAAAATTAACACTTTTTAAATAAAAAAAAAATGATGATATTGCAAAGATTTATCCTGTATTTTACTTCACAAATGTACCAAAATTTGCCCAAAACTATCGAAACTTCTAAAGGAATTTAAAGAAAATTGTTGATACAGTAACCATGGAAATATTATTCAGAAATAAATATTTATAAGAATTGATGTAGCCTGTTACATATGTATATACAATGTTTTAGTGAAATATAACTAGGGGGCCTAAACCTAATGAATAGGTGCTATTTTTTTAAGTTAACACACAAAGGGATAATTTGGAGCAGAATCCTTTTTTTCTAAACGTTCTATTTTTCTAGATATTTCATTTTTCACCAAGTGTTATTTACTTCTACACCTACCCCAGTGCTTAAAATAGCGCCACGCGACGTTTCATAACAACGGGAAGTAACTCTAAATCTAAGACGGCGATTGAGACGTAGGCCCTAGGTGATGGATATGTATTTGCTATAAGATTACGTAACACTTGACTGTCCTATGTTAGTGGACAGTGCCAGGTTAATTTAGATTTAAATGATAGCACACTTGATTTCACTATTTATCATGTAAAGCTTCATGAGTGAGGATGTCCTTATCGGATGTTAAAAGTAATGTATGGTTTTCCATAGTACAGACTAAAGGGTTGTTAATACTCTAAATTAGGTAGGAACAAGCAGGAGCCTGTAGTTATGTATATTGTGAAGTTAGTGTTCACGTTTTAACAAAAACTAGCGCAAATGTTTGTGAACAAGCAGGATATAAGGACACTATAGGAGACATTCTTTGAGAACAAAAGCGGCGACCGGATAGCATGATGCTGGGATTGAAGAATAGCTAATAAAAGAGAAAAACGGGCAACAAAATCTATTACATTTTGATCCAGAGAGTAAATGAAATAATTCTTGGAAATATTGGGGATTCTATGGAATCCGGATAGTATGGAATCCGGATAGGGCCACGCAGTTCACTATCGCATTATCGTACCATCGAGATTTGAGTCGATGGTGCGATGACGCGATGGTGCGATAACGATGAAGCGATGGTGCGATAACGATGAAGCGATGGCGCGATAGCGCGATGACGATGATGCGATGGCGCGATAGCGTGACGACGATGATGCGGTGGTACGATGGAGCGATAATGCGATGACGCAATGGCACGATAGCGATGATGCGTTGGTGCGATAGCGATGATGCGATGGCGCGACAGTGGTGATGCGATGCTTTATCGTGCCATCGTTATTGCTTTATCGCGCTATCGACATCGTGTCATCGCACCATCGCTCTATCGACTATATAGATAGGATGGCATTCTCAGCAGGTAGTTAATTCGAGCTAAGATTTGATTGCCCAGTGATAATTAACTGACTTTAATTTTGTATTTGATAATCATATTTTAAATAACAAACACGAAGTACCAAGAGGAGAGAGGAAGGAAGACTTTTGTTTTGTATTTATTTTGTATTTTAGTATTGTATACTAGACAGTATATAGGTCCCTGATTTCACGATGCAAGAAATAAATTTAAATTTCGTATAAGCATTTACTTGGTTTAATAGTTAATGATAGCATTCACGATGGGTTTAATTTTGCAGAAAAAAAATGAATCGCGAACATAGTGAAAGTAAAACCATCGTAATTATTTCCCACGTAATTATTACCCAATCTACAGTATTAATCCCCCCCCCCCCTTTAGAAACCAAAATCTAGATCACGCGGATTTCGATTTCTTTTACATCATTCACAACATGAGTGTATACATCATTCACAACATGAGTGCATTGTTAACTTTATCTTGATTATCAAACTATATTTTAACAATCTTTTAACTTGTTATATGTCTGGCAATAAAGACATGGTTAATTTTTATGCCAAGTGAAGTTAATTCACGCAGTAAGATCTATTTCCGATATGTATTCAGTTCATACTTTCGCAACCTGACGCCATTTCTCTTCTCAATGTCGCATGCGCAGAAGAGTCGATAGCGCGATAGTGCGACAATGCGATGACGATAGTGCGATAGAGCACTGATGATGACACGATAAAGAATCGCTTCATCGTTATCGCGTTATCGTATCATCGCTATCGCACCATCGCAGCATTGCTATCGTGCCATCGCGTCATCGCTTTATCGCTCCATCGCACCATCGCTTCATCGTCATCGCAGTATCGCGCCATCGCGTCATCGTCATCGCGCTATCGCACCATCGCTTCATCGTTATCGCTTCATCGCTCCATCGTCATCGCATTATCGCGTCATCGCACCATCGACTCAAACCTCGATGGTGCGATGATGCGATAGTGAACTGCGTGGCCCTATCCGGATTCCATAAAAACCTGTACACTAAGTTGCCTTTTATTGTACATGAAGTTGACAAAAAGTTGTTGATTAAGTTAAAAAAAGAGAGTTTTTTTCAATGTAATGTATGGTGACAGGTGACTTAATGTACAGGTTTTAAATGGCCAAATCTATTATGCTGTATAAAGTATATGTACTTAAACACAAAAGATTACTAAACAAAAATGTTTTAAAAGTAGGAATGAAATTGCAAACGCAATTTAATGTGCTATCTTCAAAAAATATTGATTTCAAATCATTGAGCTTGTATCCGAGGCATATGTATATAACTGTGTTTTATAAAGATATTAGACACTGTAAAATTAGAAAAAAAAATAAATGAGGAAGATTTTGAGTAGTGTGTGTATCAAAGGATTAAATAAAAATCTTTTGCTATATATAGTGGTATAAAATAACATTCATAAAAGAGGGTGAAAAAGTGATCACAGGAAGTTTTTTTTCTATTTTGTACAAAGATCTTTATAATTCCACTTAGGAATAGTAGATATTGTTATGAACACAAATTAAACATCGTTAACGACCAATATCACGCAATCCATATTTCTACGTATATTTTTCCTCCTTGATTTTCATTTGTTATTTGTTGAATGAGTAAATCCTTATCTCGATGGAAGGATTCATAAAGTTGATGTGCTTTATAATTTTGGGAGATGCTGCACATGTATCTAAAGCATGGGGTAATGTTTCGATAATTTTTTTTCCAACAAATATCACTTTTCATGAAGAAAATAATTTACGAAAAAGGATTATAGTCATTTTTTTTCCCGAATTTAGATTTCTTTGTTTTGTATTTTCATTGATTTTAGATAATCTTAGTTTACTACCAAAGTATAAAGGACAAGCGTCTATGGAACCATATGTCAGTTTTTATAACGCGCCGCCAGGGGGAGCTGTAGATGGATATCTCCAGGAGGAACGTGGACAAGCCACATGTAGCATTACATGAGCTAATCCAAAAATTAAGGAAGCTTGGTGGAAATTTCCATTGAAATCTATGGCTAATGTAGCATATCTAGAAATTTATTTTCGAAGCTCAAGTAAGTTTTTTTAATATAACCTTGAATAATTTTAAAATTAATATCCTTAATAACGGACTTATGTGTTATGTAGGTAGATATATTTGTGAAACTAATGTAACTTAATTTTTTTTCTTCGGGTAACCGGGATCCAAGTGAAAAACAGCCTTCAATGATATAAAGAAAAGAAAATGAAACAATTGGTAAACGTATTAGGTGTAGTTAATTTCATTTTTCGTATGTATTTACCAATATTCCTGGCTAATATTCAAAATCATATTTAATGAAAATAAAACCAAATTCTATTTTTATTTTGTCAAAAAAATGAGTTATTGAAACTATTATGGCGATACCCCAAAAATTTGAGACCGATAATAATCTTGAAAGTATCCATTCAATGATCATTTTGCTTTTCCTTAGGAAATTCATCTGGCTTGGTATATTTTTCTATAGTTTATATTATACTCTTAGCACTAAGCTAACATATACTGAAATTTGTGCTCATCTGCAAACTTTTTTTTTTTATTTTTATAAAATTTTACTTATGTTTCCAAAGTCTATTTCATTTTCCAGTCCAAGAAAAACATTCTAAGAATTATACACTTTTCTGAACCTGTGACATGATATTAAGATTCCCCAAAAGATAAAAACAATATCATCCGTCCTTAAAAAGACACCGCGATGAACAAAAAGGAAAATTGACAAGCGTAGAAATTTTGCATGACCCGTACAAATTTTGCTCAAATTATCAAAGTATTAGGTTTCAGAACCTGAAATTCTACTTTTTGGAAAAAAAAAATAAATAAAAAATAAAATATGTAAGAAAAATGTCAGTATGCCCATCACAAATACGCTTTACATCTTCCTTCCGATTGTACGCGTGTGCAAAAAAGTTGAAAAAATTACCATGGTCTAAAGTATTTAAGAATGAAAGTACCGGTAAGTAGACAAAGAATTTTGATACAATCTTTTCAAAAAGTTTTTAGAACATATTCCTCACCTTTGCATGCTCAAGTTGAATGGTAAGAATTATTGACAGGTTATTACTGAAAGTCCAACTTTGGAATGTTTTGTGAGAACCGAAAGTTTTGATGACTTTAAACATATTTTGTTGGATATTTTTTTTTTCAAGATTGCTCTTGGAAATAATTTTCCTTTCCAAGATTTAAATCAACAAACTTTATAAAGTTGTCTCAACTAATGATCCTGTAAAAAATTGTTTCGTTTTCAACATCTGTAACAAAGGAATTTAGAGGCCAGACTCTTTGTTCCTAAACTCAAATACTTTGATGAAAAACTTTCTCTTCCTTTACAGTATTCCCCTTTTGGCTGATAAATAATCTTTGTTATAAACAATTATTTTATACATTTTATGTCTTAATTAAGATTATTATTTGAGTTTTCAAAAATATTGTATTTTATTCAGCTGTGAATCGACATGTGGGGTTTTCTGTTTTTGTTTTCAACGATCCATTGTACATTCCTCCATTCAACTTATCCCAACATCTCGTCTTCACTCACAATGTATCCACCTGTCCTGATAGTGTGACAACTGTGAAAATCAATAAAGAGACACAGGGGGCTGCCATTTATAATTCTAAGGATCCCCCTGTGAGTACACCATGTCTGTACTATGAACCCACGTTTGCAACTATTGAAATTTGCAAAGTAAAAGTAATGGGTATGTTTAAAGAATATTCAAATATATACTGCAAAGGCTTGTTGGTTAAATCTTTCGAATCTATGGGAATATATTGAAAGTTTTTTTTTTGAAATAACTGTCCTTGATCCTTTTTCATAAATGAATACGCTTTTATGTTAATTTACTCAATATTCAAGAATATTGTCTAAAATGAATATACATTCATGGCTAACAGCTGTTTATAAATCATTTAAGGTTGTCCATCTATACATTATGGAGAAAATTGCGATCTCTGTAATCCTAAATGTCGTAATATAGTGTGTGATGCTTTTAATGGTTCCTGTGTCTATGGATGTAGTACCAATGTTATTGAATCACCGTATTGTTCAGGTAAAGGAAACTTAATTGAATACGAAATTTTAAGCGACGAAATACAGAGAAACACAGTCAAGAACAGTATTTAGGAATATAAACACTGTAGGAGCATAAAACAGAAAAAAATCACCGCAATATTGAGAATACTCCCAAGTTGAGATAAGTTTTTTATCTTTAATTCACCCGCTTTCTTTATAAATTTATTTTTTTTTTCAGATATGCAACATCTCTTATATAAGTTTGAATGTTTTAAACTTTCCTATCACCCAATTAATTTGAATTGCCAAATATATACATATATTGGAATCCGAAACTCCATTCGAATCATTTAAATATGTTCTTAATGATCATTTCGTAGATGTAATCTCATCATATCTTACCGATTATGTTAGAATATAAAGACGGGTATTATGGACCAGATTGCACAAAGATGTGTGGATTTTGCAAAACAGGTACACTCTGTAACAAAACAAATGGAATGTGTACAGAGGGATGTCAGGACAACTGGAAAAATTCAAAGTGTAATGGTAAGTATAAAAGCATGTGCATGTCATTTTTCAAGACATCGAGTTTTCAATAATCAAGTAAGAAAACGAAATTTTAACGGAATATCAAAGGCATATCCGTGGACAATATTTTTAGGAATAACGATATGTTTTGTAGTTAAACTAAGAGAATATCTAGCAACAGACCTGTTAAAATCATTTATCTACATTTGTGGACCATTTAACGTTTCCGCCAGGTTTGATTTTACCAATATCACATAAGCATATTTATGTTTCCACTGTCATTTATTTCAGTATGTAAAAATGGATTTTATGGAGCAAATTGTGAATTTCCTTGTGGTAAATGTAGAATCAGGGACCTTTTGTGATCATCAAACAGGGATATGTCCAGAAGGATGCCAGGATCATTGGAATGGAACAAAATGCGAAGGTAATGTATATGTTTGTTTTTATTACTCAGTAGCTAATCTTTTTTAATAAGTTCCTGTGAGCAATGCTATTTAAAAATCTGAAGCCGGATGTATGACTGGGTGGACTGGGTTGTTTTGTTCGAAAGGTTTTTCGTTTTCTGCTTTCATATGATGGATATTTTCTTCAGTTTTCTATTTTCTGCAGAATTTCGCGAATGGATGAAATGTGCATACATTATATTCTTTTTCTCAATATGAACTCGCATATTTTATGCAATTTTAATATGATACAGGATGCTTCTTTCAACCTTGTTTAAAACTATTGCAACAGTATTTGAAAAAAAATTACAAGAATTTCTAAAAGATAATAGTTCTATTAAGTTAAATGCTAGTTTTCATGCACTTTTTATCAACAGCAGAAAATAGCCGTTATACAATATGTCCATGGTTTAATGTTTATGATCATTTTTTTTTCTTACTCATTGAGGAAATTAAATTCCAAACGACACTAGACGTAGGTAAAACAAGAAAACGTAAATTGAACGAGATATATGCATCTTAAAATGTGAAAATGCTTTTCCAGAAATGTCCTCTAAAGAAAACTTAAATGCAGGTGAGTTCAATTTAAAAGAGTCTATCAAATGCATCTTCTTGTGTCAGTAAAAGGCAAAATATTTGCTCATTTTTTATCATTCTCTTTCTGTACATAAAAGGATTGATTGATTGTACGAGGGTTGTCCCGTAAAATCGTGGACAAGTTGTCTAGTTTGAAAAATAATCATCACTGCGTTCTGAAATTTTCACCACTTTTTAGCAGATAAATTATGAATATACATAGCAAATTTCAAATAGATATATGCATAGGTAAACAAATCGTGATATTTTATGTTATGTACTGTATCGCCCTACGGCGCACGGATGATAACGTCAAAGTGTCTAAAACAGCGTCACATTTCATCTTTGCTAAACTTAAAGTTGGATAAGCCCAACTTAAATTTAGAAATTTTATTGATTTACATATGTGAGTATCTATAACCAGTTAAGAAACCAATGTGGCACACTCATGCGATCTTCTGAATATTTATTAGCAAGTTACAGACAGTATTCTCACCATCATTCAACTAAAAGAGAATCTCACATCGACGGTCGACAGTGACAGCGTCCTTCAATGCTATCACAAATGGCAGTCTGTCCATATGTTTTGTACTATCTGGGGACTCGACCACGAAGACTTCACTAAGAAAACTTTCATTTCATTTATATACTAAAGATCTGGTGATATTTTTCATATTTTCTTTCTTCCGTATTCCTTTAAAGTCTCTTAAGGCGTCATTACAACATCCTAATCTATCTGAACTGCTCTCCGGTGCGCCGTAACGTCATAAAAAGTCGCCATTTTTCGTGAATTGTGTTTATTACTTTCCCATTTCAATTGCTCGGGAAACTGCCAAAAATTACCCAAATGCCTTGAAATTTTTAAAAATACGACAGAATTGATTAAGGAATGGAATTAGGATAATTTTCATCCTAATCTTATGTATTGAAAACTTTTATTACGAACTAATTCTTATGTCTTCTCTAATATAAACATGCTATTTTTACCGTGCGCCGTAGGACCATACCTTGTGCACATTCAAGCAGAATAAAATCTTTGTTTTTGAATATATATTATCAAAAACATTATGATTCACTTAAATATGATGAATAAACATTTACTGAAAATTTCAGCTTAGTGCGCCCATTACTTTTCGAGAAAAACGCTTTGTCCACGATTTTATGGGACAACCCTCGTATATTGTTTAACGCACCTCTCGAGAACACATAAAAGGAAATAAACTTCAAATTATTACGGCTTAAACCCTTTTTCGTTTTCCTGAAGATATTTTACCATAAAAATTGTCAAAAAATACAAATCTCGTGTTTTTAACTTACAGATGATGGGATTTCAAAAGTATCAACTGCATTTCTATCCATTGGTTCAACGCTTGTTGTTGTTACTCTAATAGTTTTGGCTCGAATCGTATACAAGAGAATAAAAAAGAGAGATCTAAATCTACAGGATGCATCAAAAATTATGCCCGGAAAACTCTACGATCAATTAGCTGATACAAACACCGATCATACCTATCAAAAGATAACTACAAAAACAGAAAATTCGCATTATCAAGAAATGCACATCTACAAAAATGATGAATTTGCTCAAAACTGACTTTATTTTTGGCTCGTTACATTTGTCTTAACGTAATGATATATATATTTTTTTAATTCAAATAGGCTCTTTTATATTTAACTAATTTGGACCATACAGTGTATTTTGTTCAGAGGTGTTCAGAATATTTTCAATCAGTAATTTTGTGCGAAATGCAATATTCTATCTGCATTAAGAATAACCGAAAAGAGACACAGTAAGTCAAGGCTACTGCTACTCACCATATAATGTTTAATTTGCTGTGTTTATGTGTTTTAAGAGTTATTTAAGGAATCACTATCTAGTTTTGAGAGTATGCCAGGGCATCAACAATAGCGGGAAACATGGGATAATTTGCATAATGGGCGAAGCCCGTTATGCTAAAATTATCCCATGTTTCCCACTATTGTTGATGTCCCTGGCATACTCTCAAAACTAGACAGTGATTCCTTATATTTCCATTTCATTGTGAAATAAAATTGTAGACTTAGACGTTAAGAATGTAGACTAATCGATTTAAATTACACGAGGACTTCCATGCCAATTTCAATAGTCCTCGCACACTGACGTCAAACACAGGCAGCCGCACGAGATTTACATGCATATTTGGCCTCCTTAGCGTCAGACACAGAGACAGATGCGCACGAGATTTGCATGCGTTTTAGGCCTCCTTAGCTGCTGACCTATCGACCTGCCTAATTTACATTCCGGCAGAATTATCAGGAAATCAACTCCGCTTACTTTCAAAGGGTTATTATGGAGAAAAAATTTAGAAATGGAAATATTATGAAATATCAATTGTTTGCTTTATTTTAATCAATAAATTTGGGTATATTAAAACAATTTTTTTTCTTCATATTTAATTGTTAAAATGACAAGTGCAATTTGATATTTTACAAATATTTTTATGTAACATCGAGTGTTATTCATTGTAGATATTTGTTGAAATTCCGCTTATAAGAGAACTCCATACACGGAACGGACGAACGTATCTCGACGATATTAACCGTATTACTAGTTTATAAATACCATAACTAGCTCTATATTTATTTTGTTATTATTTAAAAGGCGGATCAGGCACCGGTGTGCCGGGCGTGCGCTCCCTCCCCCATTTGATTTTTGTCATCTTTTTTTGTTTGTATTATCTTGAAATTACCAGGAAAACACCTCTAATTTGTTATAGATTTCCTCAGTTTCCGGGGGCTTCGCCCCTGGATCGCACCTCTGGATCCCAACGAGCTTTTCCTGGACCCACTGGGGGCTTTAATGCAGCCCCCAGACTTCCCAGTTCTCTACTACCCCCCCCCCCCTTACGTTTTGAAATTCCTGGATCCGCCGCTTACTAAATATTTAGACAGTTAAACTGCTAGTACATATTTTCTACACTTCCTAGTAAGATATGAAGGACCAATATCGGTTTATTATATTTATGTCCGGTTCTATCGACACCCTAGATGGGAACTTGCATCTATGGTTAAATTGTGCTCAGCTCTTGCAAAGCGTCGTATTGATAATTGTTACAACCTAAAAGTATGGCACGAGAATTCACAAAAAAAGCTTAACATAGTTTCACAGTTGATAAACTAGATTTATCAACTGTAAACTATAGTTTACAAACCGTAAACTATAGTTAACAAGTCGTTAACTATAGTTTTCATATGTAAAAACAATATGTAACAGTTATTAACTATAGTTTACGAATGCTAATCTAAGTTTAGCTGTCTGTAATAAAACGTTAACAATAGATTTTAATTGTTGATGAACGTAGATTCACGTCTGTAAGCTATAATTTACAATCGTGAACTATAGTTAAGAGTTGTTGATCATAGTTTCACGAATTGTGAAACTATATTTATCAGATCGTGAACTATAGTTAAGAGTTGTTAGCCATCGTTTACAAATCGTAAAACTGTATTTATCAGATAATCAATGATTTACAACTGCAAATGATTTTTTTCAGTGTTAAGTATAGTTTACGGTTCTGAAACATAGATTATCGCGTAACTATTGTTTACAGATAGATTAACGTTCAACTTGTTAACTATAGTATACAGTCCGTAAACTATAGTTTACAACCGATAAACTTAGTTTTTCGACTATGAAACTTTGTTTATCTCATTTTTGTGAATTTGGGGTGACGTATTTATTTATCGTAATAAACAAAGGTCATCCTTTACCGTGGGTGGATCCAGCAATTTTTATAAAGGATGGTGGGGGGGGGGTTCCATGTCGGTGTACCTAGCACTAATGCATAGAATCACCCCATGCCCACTTCAAGTCCGTAGCTTCATTTATAAAAAGGAGGAGCTCCAAAAACATTTAACAAGCAAAAAAAAAACCAAACAAACAAAACAAAACAAAACAAACAAACAAACAAAACAAAATTACTTATGCACCACACTTTAAACTCGGGAGGAGGTAGAGGTAGGATTCATGTCACTTTTCTGTTCCGAACATTACTTTCAAACTTGAATCTGCGTATTTTCCGGCAACAAAAGATGTGGAGGGAGCTTCCAAAACAAAATATTATAATAATTTAAAACTGCAGCAAAAGACTATTCTCAGGAAAAGTGACCCCCTCCTTCTGCACACTACAGAAACATTTTAACATTTTACTATATTGATTAAAAAAGCAAATACGCGAAAATCTACAGATCTAGCGAGCAGAAAGGACAGCTATTTTTTATTTTTTAAATGATTAGACGTATTAATATCTATTTTACATAAAAGCTATTCTCTCTCTCTCTCTCTCTCTCTCTATCTGTGTGTG